AGTGGTAAGGAAATGTAACTATCAACATTTAAAAAAAAAAAAAAAGACCAAGTGAATATTTCTACATGTGTAGAATAGATGCTTACTTAATAAAAAGTACTCTGGCCATTCTTAGATTATTACTGTTTTTAAGGTGAAGCAGGTGTTAGAACTAAGTTTATAGAAATACTGCCTTCTAGGTTTTGTGACTAAAATGCTCATGGACTCATATGAAAACCTTTTGTTTATCTCCAGTTTATTGCAATTTCACATTTAGTTTTAATATGGAAGCCAACTTACTGATGCTGTTGCAAGTACATTGTATGGGTTGTTATAAACTATGTAATGCATTTTCTAGAAAATGAAATTATTTTTCATTTTTATCAGTTTTGCTTGAAAATATTAGCTACAAGAGCACTAAAACAACCCCCTGGAAGTTTAAGTTGATTTAAAATCCGTAATAAAAAAGTTCTTTGGTTATGTGTTCTCAAAGAAAGTGTTTACTTCAGAGTTGTAATTCAGCTGTGAAGTCATTTTAACAGCTTGAGCTATTTGGTCTGTATTAATGAAACTTTCCATTATTGCTTGTTGTGAGAACATTTCAGAAGGGCATTTTGTAATAGAAGGTAGCGTTGGTCTTGAGTGCAGTTGATATTAGTAAACAGTTTGAAACTTTTGACTTAAACTGCTGTAGAAATGCAATTCCTGTATTGGTGCTTAAAAATTAGAGTATGTTCAAAGTGCCTCCTGCTTCAAGTCTGACATTTCCACCTCAAAAAAAAAAGCAGCAGCGCAGAATCATCTTTTACATGAGCCTCAGAGTGTCTGAGGTGTTTGTTTTTAAGGTATGGAAAAATCTGTGTTCTTTGCCTCGTTGCTTGAGATAGGTGTTTGGAGACACACACCAAAGTCACCGGAACACTGGCGTCCAGCTTGCCCCATGCTGGGGACTGGTTGGCGATTATCCAACACCGCCCAACTCGTGTGTGTAGAAGGCTTCTCTTAAATGCTCAGCAGGACGGGGACTAGAGGTTTGGGCGCATGTCTGGGGAAAAGGGGGACATGTACAGAGGCTGCCTTTGAGCGTGGTTTGGAGGCAGATTCGGTCTCTGCTAGTCCTTAAGGTGCCCTGGGTGGTCCACAGTGGGGAAATGGCTGGAGGTGGTTACAAGTTTCTGTACTGGAGATTGCGTGGCTGGGTTTCTGTGCTGTGTAGGAAGCAGCGCAGCACTCCCGTGCTTTCTAGGCACAGCCAGAGCAGGTGCTTTACTCTGCGACAGAGCTACCCCCAGCATAAGTTGTGGTGGTTTGCTCCAGAGGCTTTAAGTATCTGTCCATTGGTGCTTCATTTGCCTGTAGTTATATCCTGAGGGAAGGGACAGGAGCTCTGTTAGCAATGCTACTAAATGGCCTCGATGCTTTTTGACGTCTGTTTTTTGCTCTGTTTAGGGAGTGACGATTCCCAGTCAGAGACGCTACGTGTACTACTATAGCTACCTGCTAAAGAATCACCTGGACTACAGACCAGTGGCACTGCTGTTTCACAAGATGATGTTTGAAACAATTCCCATGTTCAGCAGCGGAACTTGCAGTAAGTACCCAGCCCCCCATTCACCTCTCTAAGCTCTTGGGAGGAAACCTGTCAGCCTTTGAACGGTTACGTGACAGATACTGTTCTGTGACATGAAGAAAGAGCTGCACATCTTGGTGGAGGAGAAAATCATGCTTGAACACTTTGCCTTCCAAAATCTGCTGGGTTGGTGTGGTCTATCCCCTAGCATGCTCTCAGGTGTAGCAAGTCAAAGGTGCTTTAAATTGGGAAGTATTTAACAGTTTGAGGCTAAGTGATGCCATATATATATAATTAGATACTTGCTCCTTATTTTATTTTTTTTTTTTTTAAAAAGATCCTTTTTTAAAAATCAAGTCTTGGGAAACTTGAACTGCTGGAAAACATTTGCTTAGTGGCCTGTTGGTTTTGGAGGCAGCAACATTGTTCTTCCTGTGACTTAAAAAAACACCACAGAAATCCATTCAACTGGGTAGATATGTAATTAAATCTGGAGTAAACTTGTCTTGATACAGAGGCTTATAAAAATATTAATACACCTATAAATTATTAATGCAATTTGCTGATACGCAGCTGTGTTAGTAAGGAAACAGCAGATTCCTTGAAACTTTGAAGTACAAATCCAAATTCACTTCTGTCCTGTGGGCTGTGTTACAGGGTAGTAACTGCCTGGTGTTGCGTGTTCCTTTTTTTGTTAGTGGAAAAAGTCTTTTTAATGGTTTTGCTATGGGGGATTACTGCAATGGGTAAGTAATTCCAGTGCCTCCTGTGGCTTTGATTAAAATTGCACTATTAATATTGTTGGAAGACAGTACCTGAACATGTAACACAGGCAAGAAACAACCAAGCAACTTGTCAGGGGGGAGGAGGAGGGGAGGAGCTTCTGCCAAAAAATCTCTGCCTCTGGGGTAGAGGTGTGGAGATTACAGATTTCTGCAATTATTACTTCTTTAATGTTTTGGATAAACTGTGCTATACTTGCGAAATCAAGCTCCAAGTATGAATTACTTGTGTGAGCAGTAACTTGTTTGTACCAGGCTGTTCTCATGCTGTTTTCACAGTAGGATGTTACAATAAACAAGATTTGCTAAGCACCTGAGAAAAGAGTAATATCAACTTCACCGTCTTTGTGTACTGCAATATTGTACATTTCTGTGAAGTTTTCAGTTATTTTTTTCAGCATGTGAAACCAATGGCCTGTGTTACTTCTTTAATAACTAATCTGCTGTGGTGGTAGTAATTTTACCAACACATGATAACTTGAAGTCTGACTTCCTTGTTATCTTCCTTCTGTTTTAAGGTCACTCACTGAGCAGAGCTCGGTGGTTTTGGTTCTCTGGGGTTTTTTTGCCTCTTGGGCAAAACAAAGGGGTGATGGGGTTTCGTGGCTCTGAGGGTTTGAGGGAGATAAATAGCAGTTCTATAGCGAGGCCATCAGCAAGATAGTGTGGGTGTGCTCAGCAGGGACTTCCACAGCTCTGCAGGGGTGGTTTCAGGGTGGCTACCCACTCTGTGACGGGTTATGGCTCAGTATGTATCATCTAGAGAGCAGTCTGTGTCTGATACTAACAGAGAAGTCAGGAACAAATGCAGAAAGACTTCCTTGAATAAGTTTCATTTAATATTTCTGGCTTTGATGCTGATGTCTGGCAGTTTCCTAAGAAAATCTGCTTGGACTGCACCACAAAAAAAAAAATCATAATTTCAGCTGTAAAAACTGCAGATTTAATTTTGAAAGTCACTATGGCTGACATTTTGGTGATTTACTGGACAGACCCACAGTCTATGTCTAGTCTGTATTAATGTTAAATTTTGTCCTTGTTTTTGTTTGTATATCAGTTCTGTTTGTCTAAGGACAGAAATGGGTTCTGCTGACATGACCGCCTACTCTGCAATTTATAGAAGAGATGAGAGAGAATAAACCCCCTCAGTTATGTCCATATAATAGAGAGGCAATATGCAAGGAAATGTTTAGAAGTTGCTTTGTATAGTCACTGCTTATTATACTTAAAAGAGACATCAACTCTCTAGGAACCCCTTGGTTGCCCCAGAGCCTTGCTAAAAAGCACAGCAATCTGCTAGGTTGTTTCCAGTAACATGTAGCAAAGTTCGATGCCCTGCGGTGCTTAACTCTTAATATAGATATTTAACTTTCAAAATACTGTAGCTCATGATTGTGGTTCTGATACTGATATTGTGCTTTTTGACACTTAGAGGCATTTTTTACAAAGTGACACTCTGTTTTGCCGTGCAGATCCTCAGTTTGTGGTGTACCAGCTAAAGGTAAAGATATTCACCTCCCCTTCAGGACCCTCAAGACGTGAAGACAAGTATATGTACTTTGAATTCCCTCAACCTTTGCCGGTATGCGGTGATATCAAAGTGGAATTTTTCCACAAACAGAACAAGATGTTGAAAAAGGTTGGTTTTCTCGGGGTTTTTTTTTTTGAAAAGTTGTTGAGCCAGTCCTGACGCAGATCTGGGATATTGGTTATTCTTCAGTGATGTGTAATCACAGTATTTAGTCCTTTGATGTCAGTTTTCCCAAGGAGAGAATCTACCACAAAATGAAGGCTGGGTATTTTGAGAGTTGGGAGATTAAGTACAAAGGTTGGATAAAAATTACACTGGATATGTATTGCAGTCGTTTGGGTAGTTGTGAGTAATCTAATTGAGGAAGAAACATTCTCCCTCTAAAAATAGACTTGCATACTGAGCAAGTTAACTCCAGCTGTTTTCTCCACTAAATTTTCCAAAGGTTTGAGCAGGCACAGAAGATCCTGTCTGTGTGCTGTTAGCTGATTTCTACCCTCTTGTCAAAGTTTCCTGTATTTCCAAGACAACTGAGTTCCTGCACACTTTGTAAAAGTATCTCTGCCATCTTGTCATCCATCTCTTGGTTCTGAGCTGCAATGCCTTGACTTCAGAGGTTTAGAGAATTTACTCAGAACTGAGAATCTTGTCAGTGTCTCAGTTGTGGAAAAGTTTAATCTAGAATTTAGTTTGGCACTGAAGTCAGTGAGTTCTTAAAGATACGAATGTCTCATCACTGGGTTTCATTAACTCTGGTGCTTGTGGAGTGAGTTTCCATCCACCAAAGTGAAAGATGAGGATGAGACCAAGGTGATTAAAGGCTACCTTTGTATTTGTTACCTAAAATTTTGGATTAATAGCTGTACACTTTAATGGATGTTATAAAACTTGAGAGCATTCATTGAGCGAATCCTGTGTACAGTTAAAGCATAAAAATAAGATAATACTAGAGCGGATTGTGAGACCAGTGTACGTTATGAGAAGTCTTTTATGACTACATGTAGGTTGTACCTACTAGAGGTGTGTGTAAATAGGCACACACACTCTTTTGTGGGTCTGTTCAGTTATAAAGGGTATTGTTAACTATTTTAATGGTGTCATTTCACCAGCTGGAAATGTTGTGTTCTGTTTGCCACGCACTGATGTTTGCAAAAGGTTTTAAAAAGTTTCTTAAAGGGAATATTCTCTTCTTCTGTCTGTTTAATAAGATGATTTGGTTGGTCAGTGCAGCTATATGCAATACAGAGAGCTGTAAAACAGAGCATTTTAAAAGTAGAAATTCTACTTTTAAGTCAACATTAAAATTATTGACATCTGAATAGGAGCCAGTTTTGAGAATGGACTTCTCAAGGAGCACCCAGATAAGTACTGTGGGCTAGACATGAGGGATGCATGAAGCAGATGAAACAAATCCCAAGCATCTCAGACAATGTCCTGTTTTATCCAGTTACTGTCTTGTCTTAACTGTAAAATTTGTTGTTTCTTTACCATTAATAACACATGGATTGCAAATGGACTTTGTAGGAAACGTTGTGCTGTACTACTCCTTCCCAACTAAGCCACTTAATTACCAGTGTCAAGCTCAGATGCTGGATCTTGGCTCTGTAGCACCAGGAATGAACTCCTGTATTTCTTTTACCACTCTAGAGAGCACTGAGACCTACTGACAGCATAAACTAGAGCTTCTTGTTACCATGTACAGTTTCTGTAGTATAAATTCAGTCTCCAAGTGTGTGAAATTGCAGAAATGCAGCAAGCGTGATACTGTGCTGTAGTTTCATTTCAGAGTGTCATATCAGCCATGGTTTCAGTTCTTAAGAATGTCTTTGTAGTTTCTGAATAGCTAGTTGATTTTTTTTCTTTTGATCTGTTCTTATCAAGTACTCTTCACTATTCAGGTTCTGTTGTGGATTACAGATAGTGCAGAGATGCTCCTTTTCTTGGTGTTTTTGGACTGCTAGGACAAAGAAATGCTGAGGTGGTAAAAGCCCTTCTTTCCCCATCTGCAAGCTTTTTCAAGAGAGATAAACTGTCCCTCCACCAGACAGAAGTCTTCAATAAAGAGACCACCTTGATAATCTACCTCAAAGATCTGTTCAATGTAGTGTCTAATTGCCCTTAACCCTGTGTAAGAATGGAGGCCAAAAGAGTGTAGGTATACGGAGTTGGGATAATGGTTGGATTTGATGATATTAAAGGTCTTTTCCAACTGAAACAATTCTCTGGTGTTACACCATCCTGGTGAGACAACCTCTGTTAGCTCTACTGTCAATGCAGGCATGAACTGAGGGCATCTGGGACTGGGTCTGTGGATCCTCTCAGATGTAAGCATATTAGTCTGTTTTATGAAACCACTGATGAGGTCTTCATATTGAGAACTAGTGAAATATTTCATCACTGACATTGTGCTTTGGCACCAGAGGAGACCTTTCCATGTGGTCCTTTTGACAACTTATGTCAAGTGACTAAGATGGGAATAGGACAAAGGTGAATATTTGCAGCAGAAAACCTGCCCTGGAACAAAGTCAAACATGTTTCTGTGTACGAGTGTTTCACATCTCTGCCTGTTCCTCTTCTAGATAAATTTTACGCAGATTTTACTCAAAACCCCAAGAGAGGACCTTCCACTGCAGAGACTTCATGCATTTTGAAGATCACCTCTATGCAGTGATCACCTAATTAATGAGGAACAGCATAATTAAGAGTAACAAATTCTTATCTTTCAGAGATTCTGGTTTATTCATGTGTGTTTATGAAAGCTGGAATTACGGGCCTGTTGCCTGTCACTGGTTTTTGCTCATCCAGGGTTTTCTGTTAGCAGATTTATAGGTAGCTGCTAAACAAGTTTTCTTGCACACACTTAAAGGCATCACATATCTACAAGTCTGCATTTTGGCTTCCCATAATAAAAAAAACTAACAACATTAATTAAAAGTATAACTTTAGCTTCATTCTGGGGCTCAGGCTGGATAATGGCTGTGGCTCATCTGTGGAGATGAAGGAAACTTCTGGATCTTCCTGCTGGGTTTGGTGTTTGATACCACTGATCTCAGCTGAAGCTCTCCAGTTTCACTCACCTGCACTTGCTTTCAAATTTCTTATTCTTCATCATCTGCAGAGTTCTCTAGTATGGAGGACCCTTCTCAACTTTGATCAAGCTGTTCTTGGATAAAATTATTGTGCATGAAACAAAACAAGTTTGAAAGAATAAGTGACTTCAGGTGCCTAGCACTGCAGTGTCAATGTGAAGTTTAAAGCAATTAAGTGTCCTGGGTTTTTTTAATGGCAAAACTTAATTCAAGCAAATTCAGTAGCTAGCAAGAGCTGACCTCAGCCAAAGGGTTATTGGTGCTGGTGAGAAGATGTTGGTAAGAAGGTGACTGCTTTGAACAGTTTTCCTGCTTCAGCTCTTCCATAAGTGGTGCCACCTGGCATCAGTAAGTCCACAACTTCTGGTCTTTTCTTGTCTAATGAAGTTGTTTAGGATTGGACCATTTTTTTAGTATGATGTAGCTACTTCCTTTCAAGAGTGAAATGCAGGCTCATACGAGAACAAAATGACTTGGGGCTAGAGTACAGTTATCTATGATTTTCTGATGGATAGAAGTTAGTAATTTGGGGTTTTTTTAAGCATTTTTTTTTCTCTGACTTGTAGTGTGGCTATTCTTCTACTTCAGACTGCTGCTGTAGTCTCTCTGGTTTTGCCTCCATGTGTCTATGTGAAGACTTTTTCTTCCAGTTATTGATGTTGACATGATAATCTTTTAAAGTATTTCAGAGTATCCTTATATCACTTGGTTCAATGAGAGTCTGTTTAAAAATAATACAGAAGATCTTGTAATCTTCCCGCATGCAGAGCCTAGGGATAAAGGAGACCTTTTTCAGGAGTCCCCCTAGTATAGATGAGAGAGAAACGTTGGTGTGGGTTGTGTGGGTGGGTTGTTGTGGTTTGCTTTTTTTTTTTGAGTCACTGCTGTCTTATACCCAGACTGTAGCATGGGCAGGGCTGACAGCATTGTTTGAGCTGTGGGGTCTGGCATTTCATCTCTTGAGTCTGTATAAATGAGAAATTCTGCTGCACAGTTCAAGTGGACTTTAGGTGAATACTGTTTAACAAACACTGAAAAATGAAATCTGAAAATGTCAGAAGACTTCTAACAGATCTGAAAATGGTATGAGAAGTGCCGTCAGCCATGGCTATGGAAAGGCTGTGGGGCCATCATGGAACCGGTTGGAACAGGATCTCCATCTTCTGATTGCTGGATGGCTTCTCCAAAACACTGAGCTGCTGCTGCCAAGTGGTTAAAAGTGCCTGTAGATCTCTCTGAGAAATTAAACTCTCTGGAGGATATGGGAACTCTCAGCTGATGGCTTAAATGATCTTGGATTTGGATTTCAGTCTGCAGTTAGAAGCAGATAGCAATTCTGGAGTGACATTTGATTTTCTGTCAGTCTGAGAACTGAAAAACTGCACAAGGTAGGGGTAAGTATTGTACATCAGAATAGGGTGATTAAATCAACTGCTGTCTCAAGTGTCTGATAGTGCACTGTAGGCTTTATAATAGAGATTTGTTTAGGGGAAGAACACATCCATGATTTTTTTTGTTTTTCAGGCAGTTGCCTGTGATATAACTGGAAATGAAGCAAAATGCATTCAGAAAAAGCCTCTAGCTAATACTTATTTTCAGAAACCTATTTACTAAACTGTGTTCCTGTGAGCACTTGATCTGGTGTTCTGATTTGCTATACAAAGCCCAAGTTCAATTCATACCTTGATTTTTAAAATTCCTATCTTTGGCTCATATTACATCACTTTTCTTTCTTGTCTCCCATGAAATATGTTGGAGCTTGACACTTTAGCTGAACCTGGATGAACCCTCAATTTGAATGATGAGGTTTCTTTTTCAGTGAAGGGAGTGACACAGTTATCTGCCTTAAGAGCTAATTCCGAAATCCATGACCAAGTCTTCCCTCAATTTGAGTGGCCATGCCATGTTCTAATACCCATGAACTTAGTTTATTAAACTAATTAAGTTAGTTTAGTGGGAAAGGAAGGAAAATAACTTGATGCTTTAAAAAGCTGGAGGGAGATAAAAGGATAACTGACCAGCTCAGCCAAGTTGTATTGTTTAGTTTGAGTCCCTGAAGACCTCTGTAAATTTATCCCGAGGAAAAGAGATTAAAAGATGTCTAGTGAGAAGTTTATCTGCCTTGTCTTCTCCAGAGTCTATCACTAAAGCTGAGTCCCCACAGTTGGTTGTTCAGGCAGGCATTTAAGTGCCAAGTAAATCCTTCCTTGTTCTGCTCCACCTGATGAAGTTAAGGTAAGGCATGGCAAGACCATGCCTTCTGCTTCTGCTGGCATTGGTTTACATCCAGTGACCTTGTTTTCTTTGGCACTAGTGGTATAAGCCCCTTTCCATCCATCTGCTGCAAAATGTGTTCATCAGCTTTGTCCTCTCCTCTGCTGACCTTGCTGGAGGTGTCGGGGTGGCACTGACAACCAGCACCAAAGTGCATTGCTGCTTCTGCATTGTGGTCGTGAAGAAGGATGAAAAAGTAGTACCATAACCCGGGCTACAGGAGGTGGGATCTCCTTTGACTATGGTCATGGCGTGGAAATGCACTTTTTTTTTTCCTCTAAATCCTCACTGGAAGGATGACCTCTTCAGCAGTGGTGAGACTGCAGGTGGTCTATCTACCTACTTACAGAGCTGTTTGCTAGAAACATCAGGCTTGCCTTTTCCTGCTGTTTATTGTGGATGGTACCTGGACTCCAATCCCTTCTGTCCTGTATCTGGAAAACTCATATGCTGTTGGTTGGTTCTGTTTTGACCTGAACAGATCTTTTGGGTTGAGCAGCAGTAGCCATCTCATCTTGGACTACTACATATCTTGTGAGGGACTCATCATCTGGGTAAAAAAGGAGCCTGGAACAGGTTAACCTGAAGACATCTTCATGGTATTTTGCCTCCTGCCACTTTGTGAGACATCAGCAGGCAGGCTAGTGACTCGTTGGAGCATTACAAAAGAATAAACCTTCTTGTCCAGGATGTTCATCCTCTTTCCAAATCCTAGGGTGGGCACTTTTAAGATGGTTTCTGAGGCAGCGTTAATGAAGAGCAGTTTGGTCCTGGCAAGAACCTACCTATTACTGCCTTGTGTGGATGCTCTCTAACAAGGCTTCTTCATATAGATACGAGGGCTTGAAGCGACTTGGTGGCAGTGACAGACATCTGTTGGTCTCCCAAGAAGCTGTAATTAGGCTGTGTTCATGTGGAAGATTGAGTCCCGTACCTCTGGGTACTGGAGAGGATGTGTTGGAAGTGGGTAACTTCTTAACCAGAAGTGTTTGACTGAATTATTTAACTTTTGTCTTTGCCTAGGTTGAGGGTCTCTTACGTGCTTACAGAAATGCACACAATGTGGAAGGGATTTTGGATGCTTTATTTAAAATACTGGAAATGGGTCTACTGACCTCTAGTAGAGAAGGCAGGTAGAAGTTGTTTCATCGGACACTTCTCAATTCCCAGTATTTGTGTATCTACGTGTTTTTATTAGTTTGTGAGGAAGAAGTACTTAAGCAGTAGTCCAGCTCTTCCTTGCCCCCTTCTCATTGGCCCAGGAAAATATTGTGAGATTTTGCTGGTGCCAGATTGCCTTCAGCAGCAAGGTATGTTCAGATGATACACACTAGAACCACATCTGTTCCACCTCTTCTTACCAGCAGAGGTGAATAGCTAGGAAGATGGGGCAGGATGTGGATTTTCCAGTAAGAAATGGGAATTAGACCTCTCTAGTAAACCAAAAAAGGTAAATTTAGCTCAGGAGGAGTCAGTTTCTGTTCTTGTCCTGTATGATACCAAGGAATGTTAGATTCTGGTATGCGCTAGCTTTTTCACCCCTTCAGCTTTAGCAGGAAAACAGAAATGCTGACTGTTGTGAGACAACTGGCTGTTTGTGTTTGGGATTTTTTGCCTGAAAACTAAAATCTGAGAAAAAATAGGTGGTTTCATTTGTAAAGAGGAAGTAAACGTACCTCGGTTTCAGATGGAGAAGTGCTTAATGTGCTAGTCAGGACCAACCTGCTAACAGTAGTTGACCTTGCATCAGCTCTTTGCTGGCAGAAGTATGGGAAGTGACGGGGACCTAGAACTGGAGCATTCGCTGCATTCTGCGTGGCTGTTGAGCCGAGTGCTTAAAGGTGAAGTTCTGGGCATGTCATCTTAGGAGGTTGTCTGGCCGAGAGGAAAACATTGCTACTTGTTCAGTAGCACATTCGGAGGTGGAAACTCACAATGAGCCTGCTAGTCATAATGGTAAGCATATAATATACTGGCTGATAGCAGCTAGTTTTCCAGTGACTTCTTAAAATCAGTGATAGACTTTAAATTTTGCCTCCTCGTACAGGTCTACCTCTTATAATGGATAGCCAGACTTGTACCTTTGCAGCTGCTGATGGTCATCTTGTCAAGTTCTGCTTGAGTTGAATATACTTTTAACTGTCCATGCTTTCTCATTTAAAAACTTCCTCTTGAGTAGGACAGCAGATGCTTTGTCTTGACTTTCTCTTAGAACTGGTAAGCTGATGTCTGACTGGCAAAAACTATCTCCGTAAAGCAGTTGTGACTCGATTGTGATAGAACCCCTGTATTTGTAGGCTAGTTCTGCTCAGTTACAGTTATTTCTGTATAAAAATAAAGAAAAGCCTTGTGTTACACAGGAAGCTGTGGGGGAAGATATTTTCTCTTGCTAAATAATACTCACCTAAGCTGGTTTGCAGAGGTTGTCTGTTGGGTTTGACTACTGCCTGGCAAGATACAAGCGAAAAAGAAAAAAATCTCTTTATAGCTTGTGATTACAAGTGTTAACACTTGTTTCATTTGTCATCTGCTTTTTTTTTTTAAGGTATGATAGATTGTTTTAAGACCAACTTTCCATAAGGACTGACTTCTGAAAGCTTAACTGGTTAAAACTGAGTTTGATAAATGCAGAATTTTCCGTGTTGTCTAGGAGAATTGGTGAAGATGTCTTTGCATGCAATGTCACAAATGATGTACTGCTGTCCAAACAAGTTTTGTCTGATATTGCCAATTTGTTTCTGACTGGATGATGTTAGTCTAATGTGCCACTAGTCAATACTAAAGCAAGATTGTTCTTTGTGTTCTTCCTCCCTCAGGACAAAATGTTTCACTTTTGGGTAAATACATTCTTCATAGGACTGGATGAAAATTCAGACAAAGTAGAAAATGGAAGTCTAGTTGCAGATCAGGAACTTGATGGTATTTTCAGTACAGAGCGCTCAGATAATGATAAGGAATATTTAATCCTTACATTAACAAAAAATGATCTAGACAAAGCAAATAAAGACAAAGCCAACAGATATTTCTCTCCAAACTTCAAGGTCAGTATATATTCTGTGTAAACAAAGCTAAAAAGCTGCATGATGTTACCTCATTTGTTTGTCTTGCCTTGTGGAGGAACCATTTGAAACTGCTGTCTGTGTAGAAATTGAATTCATGTATTAGTATTGCCACCACTTGGCAAAGCTTCTAGCTTTGTAATTTTATCTGCTTTTGGGGAAGCTGATAGACTCTGGGAGACTTGGGAGTAAAGGCTTCAGGGTGATTTATCAAAGCCATTAGAGATGAGTATTAGGAGGCCCAGAGACACAGGTAGCATCTTTCCTGTACCAGCTGCATTGCCGTGAGCTGCGTGTACTAATCCCGAGGTGGTTGCAGAGGTGCCTGCTTCATGGGAATAGCTTAACCCGTGAAGCTAGCTTTGAGGAGTGTGAGCCACTGCCACCATTGTTTTTAAAAATGAAAAAGGCATTTCTAAGAATTTCAGTGTTTTCTAATTTGGCTCACCTTGGAAGAGCTTGCTCTTCATTTCCTTCTTTCCTGAATGGGGAGAGGAGGAATCACTCGTGTGATTCAGTGTAGCAAAAGGAGCCATGCTGTTAAAGATTGTATTGTTGCCTGTGCTCAGTCAAAGTCCAGGTTCCCTCTTTAAATGTTGTTTTTTCCTTTCCCAGGTGAAGCTATTTTTCACAAAAACAGTAGAAGAGCCATCAAATCCAGAGGCTAGCAGTTCAACTTCTGTAACACCAGATGTTAGTGACAATGAACCTGATCATTATAGATACTCTGACACCACTGACTCTGATCCAGAGAATGAACCTTTTGATGAAGATCAGCATACGCAGATTACAAAAGTCTGAATATTTTTTTTATCGGAGATAAAAAAAAAAACACACAGAAAAAACCAACCGCGAAGATTGACAAACTTGAATAAACTGAAAAAAAGGACCTTTTTAAATGGCAAAAGGACATAGTGTCAGATTACCAGTTATAGGAACAATTCTTTCCTGACCAATCTTGTTTTGCCCTATAAATCTACAGGGTTTGACACTTGTCCAGATGGAAAAAAAAAAAGGTTACGTAGATCTGATATGTATATACCTTTTTGTGTCAAAAGGACATTAAAACTTCAATTAGGAACTATAAACATGGCACTTTCCCATTTTATTCCAGTTTTATAAAAGTGGAGACAGACCTAATGTGTATACGTAGGAATTTTTTCCTTTTGTGTTCTGTCACCAAACGAAGTTTTGAAAATATACAGGTTCACATCCTGCCCCTTTTTTTGCACTTGTGTGGCAACAGAAAAGTCTGCAGTTGGCTAAGAGATGTTTCTAGAAGGTTTTACTACATTCTAATGCATGTATTTTGGTTGGGGGATGGAATGTAATGCTCAGAAAGGAAGATAGTCCGCTGGAGCTTGGCCTGTGTACCATATCCGGCTATTTACATGCACCTTTCTTTAGCATGCTACCGTAATTCATCCTGGACAATTGAGGAGTCGCCGCTGTCAATGCTTGTTGTTTGTGCATTTTATTTTTTTAAGTGTAATGGTGCTAGAAAAGGCAGCTAGAGGGAGTGATTCTGTATAGGGGTACAGGAATGAACCTTCGCAACATCCTAAAGACCCGCAAATGAAGGGAGAAAAACTATTGGGGTCACAGAAAGGAAACACAGCAACAATGACTTAACCATACAAATGTGGAGGCTATCAACTAAAATACGGGCTTGAAACAAATTGTCACAAAATTTGACAATGATTTATTAATTCGGTTTTTTTTTTTCCTGAAATGTAATGGCTGCTCCATCTCCTGTGTAATCAAGGCCAGTGCTAAAAGTCAGATGCTATTAGTGCATACATCAGTCAACATCTTACATTTATATTACTAGTTTTTCAATCATATAAAAATGAATACTTTGTGTGCTGCCTTTGCAAGCTTCTTTTCCTTGTTAATATAAGACTATTTTGTAATGGTGCACAGGAAATTTCAGTTGGAGATTCTCCAGGTTAGTGTTTGTTTTGAAGATTTACAATGCATTTATTCAATCAAACCCCTGTCAGCTGTTCCACCCCTTTGACCTTACACATTCTATTACAATGAGTTTTGCAGTTTTGCACACTTTTTAAAAAAATGTCATTAACTGTTAGAGAATTTTACTTGAATACTCAGTACCTAGGATATTTTAAAAACGGACATTACACGTGATATTGAGGAAACCAGTGTTGCAGTAAATTCTCAACACTGTGTATATGAAGATGTGTACTTTTAAAATCCAGAGCTTGTCCCAAGTGTATCATTTACTACTAAAAAAAAAAAAAAAACCCAAACAAACAAACTAACAACAAAACCACAAATCACCCAACAAATGAGATTTCTAAACTGGCAGCATCATATTATTTGTTCACAGGGATATAGCCAGGAGTGGGACTTGAGATTCACTTTCTGGTATATAATTGACATGCCCAGACTGCAGATAACTTCAGAGTACAACTACTGTTGCATACAAATGTGAAGTAGCTGACAAAATTGTTCTCTCTAATGTACACCATGAATAGCTGTCCCCAGATTGACAGGTTTTTTAGGATATAATTCATCCCCTCTTTTAATTAATTTATTGGTGCTGACGTTGAAGTTCATTAGCTGTGTTCTCGCCTAGGTAACAACTGTGTGTGGAATCTGTAAGGGCCATGTACAACAGCATTAATGGTAAGAATTTGAATGAGAGAAGGCAGGACTTCCAGTAATTACTATTGGGAAACAAAGGTATAAAGCGCTTTTTATTTTTTTTTGGTATCTGTTGGTCAGTTTTGCTCATCAGGTTCATGATTTTAACTTCTAACAAAGCTGGTAAATACTCTCTGACTTAATTAGACTTTAATAGCTTAATGGTTCAATATTGCTGGTTCCAGTGCTCATTAATCCCACCGTTATTGACGGGCAGGAGGTGGTTACCTTGGGACATGACGTTTAACTCTCACCCTTCGAATCATGTTTCACGTTGTCTTTTTTTTTTTTAACAGTTGAAAGTTGTGTTGGTTAATAAACAAAAATGTTCATGCTTTAAAAGTATTTGGATATTGACACTGCTGCGTGTCCCACTTTGGGTAATAAAAATTGGATTGGTGCGGTTCTGGTGTGTAACTGAGGGCCAGATTGGAAATCATGACGCGACGGGCTTTTGCACTGTTACTTTTCCTTTGGAATGTGAAGGTTGGAATGAGGGTTTTGATTTTTTTTTT